TTATAATGCCATCAAGTACAGATTTACAACACTAAAATCCATGGCTCGATTATCCGTGGTGGACACATCAGATAGCCTAATGTGGCTTTTCTTAAACAACAACAACAGCCATCAAGTACAAGGTATACGCCGATCTGAATACATATATATGATCCGAATGTGCTAATATTTTTCGTCCAAAATGGTTGTTACATATCGTTCTTAAAAGCGATTAATTTTCGGTGACATCACACTACCTATGTAACGAAAAACAATGTTTCGATGTAATAAACACAACTACTCAGCAAAATCACACCAGGTGGTCATCTGTTCGTGAATACATCCTTTTTCGGTAATCTGAGCTTGTGGATACACTCCGAGACTCATAGCCTGAATTAAAAAACAACATAAGTTGACAACAATTGAAGGTTTGTCTGTTTTGTGTTTTTTACACAATTGGTTATCTGCATTCTTTCTACTGCCGAGAATCGAAGTCAGGATTTTTAGAATTGTAAACCCATAAACTTACCACCGATGGACAAAACTAAATTACTAAAGGTCGTGTTGGTACGGAACGGACTGCAAAGGGTGGAAAAAAAAAACTTCAACACGTAATATGTCCGATAATATCTCATTCCGCTCATACAAGCATCCAAGAATGTCTTCTATAAAAGTATACTTCAAAATGAAGATCTTAAGAAACTTCTTAGCTAATATTTCATTGTACAAGTATGCTCGCAGTAAGGCTTGCGGATATAAAAGTGGTGTTTAACCTTTTTTTTATCTTTAGTAATAATAATATAATTCTCAAAAGGCGAGCGTATCTGATAAAATAACAAATTACCACAACAACTGCTGTATGTGGCGTCATCTGTAGAACATCTTGGCAACTAGGTGCTTTAGCCCTTTTCTCACCTTGAAGCCCCCCCAGTAGCACAGCGGTATGTCTGCGGACTTACAACGCTAGAATCCGGGTTTCGATACCCGTGGTGGGCAGAGCACAGATAGCCCATTGCGTAGCTTTGTGCTTAATTACAAACAAACAAACTCACCTTGATAATAGACATAATTCTTCAGGTGCTTTATGTGCAATTTATGCGTGTCAACTGTAATATAGTTCAGTTAATTAATTATAGATCTTGAGTGGTTTCTAATTTGATAAAATTTAATGGCGAACGATGCCTCACAAGTCTTACCTTAAACTGTTTTCATCCAATCATACTTAATAATCTTGCAACGATCTTCCAACCTGTACTTTAGTAAATTTGTTGGTCAAACTTCAAATCTATTACACTTACAAAGTATCTAAAAGTAAAAATAATATTATGAATTCTATAGAATTAGAACATTCTAGAATCCATTGCTTTCCCTTTATAGCTCTAACTTTTCAAAAATTGTCGAAATAGAATTATATCGGTTGCAGCGAAAAAATATTTATATTCGTAAATGAAAGATTATATCCTTGTGGTTTAAATCAAGATCTTAACAACACTATTGCTTTTAATCTTAGTAAAGTTGATCGCATTGCTAATTTTTTATGCTCGGATAATTTTCATAATAAAAAATATAAAAGAAAAGCCAGACGAAACAGTAAAAATTAACAAAAAGGATTAACTTTCAAAATTTTTTTAAAAAATTTAGACGATTTTTATATGGTTCCTAATGTACGCAATTTGCTCTACAAAGATACAAAGCACAAAGATACACAATGAGCTATCTGTGCTCTGCCCACGACGGGTATCGAAACCCGGTTTCTAGAGTTGCAAGTCCGTAGACATACCGCTGTGCCACTGGGGGGCACTTTAGACATTGAAAATATAAATAAACTTTCCTGCGACGCTTTTCATAAACACGTGATAACCGGAAACTTATAAATAGTTAAAGACAGGTTCATTGCTTAGAATACTTGAAACAAATATAGAATTCCAACAACAAGTAAGAAAAAATATAAGATTAATTGAAAAAACAACTTAGATCATTATTCCCATAAACTTAATCATGTTACTGATTATCTTACAAAATGGTTTTTTGGGATAGAAATGTTATGTGCTTAATAAAATACGATTAAACTTTACATATTAATCTAAATAAAATGTCAGTAGATTTAAATTTTTGAAACTAAAAAAACTAAAATTATGTAATTGTGCCGATTGATTAAGCTTACTGTTATGTTATGTCATTCTGTTGCTACGTTTTTTGAAAGAGCTATATAGAAATCATGAAATATACATATAATGAGAACTTACATTTAAGACATATATAATAGACCAAATGTTTCAGTGTTTTATAACAGCCTCCACTCAAATAATTATTTACCCTTATAGAACATTTTGTAATATCACGAATAATGACGGTGTGATCTACAAAAGTTAATTAATAACCATTAAAAGAACATGCAGAGCAGGTGTGTAACTATACAACATTGGTTGCATTGTCATGCACCTTATACACAACAATACAACATTGGTTGCACTGTCGTGCACCTTATACACAACAATACAACATTGGTTGCACTGTCATGCACCTTATACACAACAATACAACATTGGTTGCATTGTCATGCACCTTATACACAACAATACAACATTGGTTGCATTGTCATACACTTTATACACAACAATACAAAAATAATTTATTTATTATTGAAATTACATGCCATTAACAGCCATACACATATCAGTTCTTGATATACTGTGCCATCAGGGTTTTTTCTTTCCTGAAATATGTACAACTGACATTTGAAATGTGTTTGTTTAACTTGAAGAATAGAATGTCTATTTTTCCCCATGGGTCCAGCCTTCTGGGGCAATCTGTATATGACATCAACTAGTTGTAAGTACAGTTTTTAATTCACAATTTTTTTTTGTACCAGAAACCTCTATCACGTTAATTAATTTCTTACAAAGACGATTACTCTTATAGTTACACTAACTACAAAGTTATCTGCCTATGTTGAATTACTTTTACAATCTAGAAAGTAAACTCGCTATACTTAATTGATGATTCAGTTCAGTATAATCGTTGATATCTATATTTTCGGCCGTAATCCCAATAATATTTCTCGAGGTTCGCTCAGCTTAGGAGATAATCTTAAATACATATACTAAGCTAACAAAGGAAATTAATCTTCATTATAATATATATATATATATATATAATAATAATGATAAATTAAATTGAAAAAATGACTGTATTATTTAAAACATTCTAACCACTACTGTTCATTAATCTAATGTTAAAGAACGAATGGAAGATTTAGAAAATCGTGACACCAGTATACCCAGAACTTTATATAAATATATATATAATTTTTTGTGGCGAATGAGAGCTTCGATAATATACACAGCGTGGTCACAAGTAAATAGACACCATCTTTTCAGAAAAAAATTAAATTTTTCAGTCATATTCACATGAATTGATATATTTATAATCTAATTATTATCTAGTAGATCTTCCTTTCGCTTCGTGGAGTTCGTTGATTCTTTGG